ATCTACCAACTGTCCATTAAAAAATAGATTTTCATCACCTGTAAAAGACCGGAAGTCTTCTTTAAAAGTTGTGCTAACACACCTGAGGTCATGTCGCCTAGCCAATCGATACCAACAGGACTACAGGGCAATGATGACATCAGGATCAGACTGAAGTTGTGAAACAGGTCTGCACGTGAAAACGTTTAATGCCAACTTCTTCTAGAGTGAGGATCCACGAGAAATCAAGGGATATGCAACACTTTTACCAAAAAAATGGAAACACATCATTTATAAATTTAAATACAAGATGAATTTATCCTAAAATTTCTTCAAAACTGCCACATGGCTTGAAGACAAGCAGTGGCTAAATCTTTAACACAGTCAAAACACTCATCACACAGCTATTTAGTCCTAAGAACACAGAACTTAAATTTATAAATAAGCCTTATGCAAACTATATTTGTTTTTGACTGTACCTTGAGGGCATATTACCAAACATTTTCTAAGAACTTGAAATATGAAAATAATATATAAAGAAAGAAAATGTTTTCAGGTCAGGAGGGAGAACTTTCTATGTAATAGAGACAAGGCACAACCAACAAAGTATTTCCAGGAAACCAACAGGGGTAATGCTAGCAGAGTATTTTTTGATTATATTGGCTGCATTATTGCCAAGTTGTGACATATAAACACACACACACACACACACACACACACAAGTGTGTGTGTGTGTTTATATGTCTTCATTGAACAAGTTTAAGTTTAAAAATCAAACAGAAATTAGACAAAGGGAAAGCAAAAGAAAAAGGAGAAAGGCATTTGTGGTTTCAAAAAGTTTTCTTCCAGCACAGGGGAAATGTTGAGTGAAAATATCCCTTCCTCCTCATAGTTTTACTCCTTAGGCTTCAGAGTTAAATAAATGTTCCTTAATTTTAGGCACATTTAAAATTTTATCTGTTATATTTTAAGGAATAAAACTTGCAAAAGTTCTAGCTGTTCTTTTTTTTTTTTTTTTTTTGCGGTACGCAGGCCTCTCACTGTTGTGGCCTCTCCCATTGTGGAGCACAGGCTCCGGACGCGCAGGCTCAGCGGCCATGGCTCACGGGCCCAGCAGCTCCGCGGTACGTGGGATCTTCCTTAACCGGGGCACGAACCCGTGTCCCCTGCATCGGCACGTGGACTCTCAACCACTGCGCCAACAGGGAAGCCCATGTTCTTGATTCTTAAAGTTAGTACTTAAATGTTCAAATTATACTTTATGCAGGTCATTCATGTTATTAAATAGGAAAAAACCTTGATAATCTCTAGCATTAAAGCTCCTCTTATTCATTGTCTTATTTATAGGAATTGAGAATTTACAAATATACTTTGAGTTTAAGAAATTAAGGATTGAGTGGGTTATACCAGAGTATTTTAGATTTTTTCAACAGATAATACTTTGGATTGGGACTTCCCTGGTGGCACAGTGGTTAAGAATCTGCCTCCCAATGCAGGGGACACAGGTTCGAGCCCTGGTCCGGGAAGATCCCACATGCCCTGGGGCAACTAAGCCCATGCGCGCACTACTGAGCCTGCGCTCACTACTGAGCCTGCGCTCTAGAGCCCGCGAGCCACAACTACTGAAGCCTGCATGCCTAGAGCCCATGCTCCACAACAAAAGAAGCCACCCCAATGAGAAGCCCATGCACCACAATGAAGAGTAGTCCCTGCTCGCCACAACTAGAGAGAGCCCACGCGCAACAATGAAGACCCAACACATCCAAAAATAAATAAAAAAACAAAAAAACAATGTTGGGTGTCCCACCCAAATTCATATGTTAAAGCCTAACCCTTAATATGATGGTATTTAAAGGTGAGGCCTTTGGGAGGTAATTGGGTTTAGATGAGGTCACGAGGATGGGGCCCCTATGATGGGATTAGTATCCTGATAAAAAGATGAAGGGACCAGAGCTTTCTCTTTCTGCCATGTAAGGACACAGCAAGAAGATGACCATCTGTGAATCGGGAAAGAGGCTCTCAATAGACACCGAATCTGCTGGCCCCTTGGACCTCCAGCATCCAGAACCGTGAGAAAGAAATGTCTGTTTTCTAAGCCACCTGGTCTAGGTCATTTTGACACAGCAGCCCGAGCTGAGCAAGACAGTAGTCACAGTAAGCACTAAGAAAGTTTGGTGTCAGTGTTACGAGGACCCTCCAGCTACACCCTGGCTGTCCTGCCCTGGAAGCGCTTTTGGGGACAGGCTGGCAGCAAAGAAGGAGTGTGTAAGGCAGGATTATGCTGACAGTAGATCACAGAACAAACCAACAGACTGACTTGTCATCCCAAGTAGCACCACATTCACTAACATATTATCAGCACTTTTGTTTTTCAGTTATATATATATATATATTTTTCAGTTATATATATATATATATATATATGTATGTATATTTATCAGACTATTTTC